AGGCAGCTTCCTCATTCCTTCTCAAGAGCCACCTGGGCTGCAGGCTGCCCTGCTGGGTGAAATCGCTGCCTTTTGTCCAGCCTTCAATGCAAACAGCACAGGTGAGATAAGATCTGAGCTCGTCCCTTCTGCTCCAAGCCAGCCCGGTCTCCTCCTGGTGACAAAACACTAGTAGGATCTCAACGAAAAGCAAATAGAAGATTTAAAAAAAGGAGAAGGAAGGGGGAAAGGTAAAGCATGAGAAGCTGCTGTCCTCCCAGCAAGGTGTCTGTGCCCACGGGGAGTGTTCCCATCAGGTTGTAGCCCAGTGATACACGGTTTGCTTTGTCTTGGGAAGCTGAGTGCAGGGAGAGAGGAGCCTGTGTTAGCATCCAAGTGATCAAAGCTCGATTGTGACATTTAGTTACAAGCAGCTGACAATCTGACACAGCTGACCTGTGATAACATCTGCCCCTGGAACAATAGGTTAGACTTCATCAGGTGTTTGTGCAAAGGAAGGCAAGGGGCCTCTTGCTGCAGCCTGTGCCATCTCCAGAGGCTACTCCAAACATTTCCAGAGCACCGTCCCAGGGGATCTTCTCCAACAGCCGTGGATGTGCAAGTTAAACAGCCACCGAGAGGGGTTTATCTCCCTGCCTGTGAGCTAGATACAGGTTTTCATTCCACAAGTGAAAACATTTTCCTTTCCTGCAAACCTCACGCTCAGGGAAAGCTACTGACCTAGTGCCAGTCCCTCCAGTAAGGCCCATCTGGCTTCATACTGAGCAGGGAGACAAACTGAACTGTTCAAACCTTCACCTCTTCCTTGGACTGGAAGCTGCACCTCAGATTTCTGACCTCGAGGCTTTGAGGGATCTGAACTGCAGGGAACTCCACAGCACGACCCGACTGGAGGCATCCTGGCTCTAGACACTGCTGCAGAACAGGGTTTTAGCCTCACCCCATCTCTTCTTACTAAGACCAAGGGTAAAAATGGTGCCAATTTATATAGAAGCAGAGGTTTTGAAAGTCCCACCCCTCGTGTTTTAAAATAAGGAACTTAGAAAGAGGTAGATCATTTGGTGGACATCTGCATCTTCCTTGTAAAAACATTTTTGGGTAAGAAGAGGAGGAAATCTAAAGAAACCATTGCAGGCTCAGGTGATGTTTAACTACAACTGGACAAACAACACTGGGGAGTAAAACAAAAAGACTTACTAAGAACTGTACTAGTTTGATATAAAGCATTACTGTCCAGTAAACTTACTCCTAGAAACAAACACTGATTAGGAGACAGAAGCTGAACTAGTCTATACTTAGGCTCCTTGGTTCCATGGACTCAGATCACTTGCCTTCAACCTGGAGGGACACATTTTGCACCTACTGAAGCAGACACCACATGAACCAGCTGAAAATGAGATCTGTTTAGAAAGCCCCAAAAGACTGAGTAAAATCAATAAGGTATTTCACTCTTCTTCTGTAGACTCAAAACTGTTTTATCACTGTCATTCCAACTCATTAGCTCACTTCCAGTCCTTTTAACACATCATTAGGTGAGTACCTGTTTAGATCTGGTCAAGCACTACCTGTGGTTGGATGCCCAAGGAGAGCAAAAATCACTGTGGCATTTGGGAACACGTTTTTAACATGTTCTCTGTAGCTGTGTCCTGCTAAACAGACACATGCAGAACAGGTGACACATGAATATGGTGCATCATCCCTTCACATGTACTGAGCAACAGAATGACATTTCCAAACCAGGCCAAAAGAAACTGTTAGCCTTATAATTTATATATTTGACCTTCAAACTTCTCATCTGAGAACAAAACTGATTCTTTTTTTTTAAAGGTATTTCCAACAATCATTAAAAAGTACCCTCTCCAAGGGTTAGAAGAGCTTAGTTAAACTACGTAATATGAACAGCAGGGACAAGCAGAAGTAGTTCTGGTTTTGAAGGAACAGCAATGTTCAGGACAACTGGGAAGGCATCCAGGAGGACAGCTGTGACTGACAGTTTGCAGTTCTTCCAAGGAATCTCACCAAAAAAGATTCAGCAGCTTATGGAGCCATCACTCTGCGTGCTGACATCCCACTCCTTTTTGAATCAGGCAGGTTTCCACACAAGGTACTGAAGAGGATTCTATTTACATTCAAAAATAGCCTTTTTCTCTCAGCAGTACAGTGGGAATGCCCTGAAGTTAAGTCAGCAGGAGCCCTTCTAGCAGAGATGGAGGACAGCTTTGTTGATCTCTGGGTTTGTCCAGTCATTCCGAATGTCATCCAGGTGATTATCAAAATCTACAAGGGTCTCGTAGGACTTGCTGTCCAAGAGAGAGGCAGCAATTCTCTGGGCTTCAGTCCAGTCTTCACAAAAATCACTAGGATGTAAAAAAAACAGGAATAAATAGTAATCACAAGGAAAATCACCACCACCTCCTCCTCCATTCTGGAAATGAAGCCATGCTCCCTGCAGCCTGGTGATGGTGGTCACACCACTGCAGGCCTGGCTGTTCCCCCTCACTACAGCAAAAAAAACAGCTTGAAAAAGCACTGTCAGCTGCACCCACCACCCTCACAGCGTCACCCAGCACAAGGTTGTGCCCTGAACCAGACAACTCGTCCTTTCTGGCTACCTGAGATCAACAGAAACAGACCCTGAAGCTGACTCACACGTGTGGGTCCTTGCACCTCCATTTGTTCTCGTGAAGCTCGTACACGTGGATCGCTGGCTCTGTGCACTCCATGGTGAACCTGGTGTTGTCAACCTGGTGTGCAACACAAAAACACCACCTCAGCCTCCTCCTCCAGATCCTGAGCCAAGAGATTAAACTAAAAAACAAAGTCAGTTTTTACAAGCAGGGCACCTGAGGCTAACTCCTCCACTGTTTCACCCTCAAATGAGCTGAATTGACACGTTTAAGGTGCCCACATCTCACCAGGGTGGCAGGGAGGCAAAGGCAGGAGTTTAAGTGACAGAAAGAGGTGGGAAATTGGGCTTTGCTCAGAAGGAGAAGGCCTCCACTTCCTTTGAGATGGCAGAGAGCTAAGCACAGGCTCTGCTGACTGAGTAAGGACCTCTTTGGCTACAGGGCACTGCAGCCCTTCCCCAGGAAGGGAAAGTTAGTTACTCCACTTTTAAAGGACCCAGAGAAGAGTGTTTACATGGCCTGTCCAACACCACGGCCATACCATGAAGAAGACAAAAGGGAGGGTGGGGGAATGAAGCAGTTTACCATGATGAGCGCCGTGTCGTTGAAGCCCTCTGCAATCCTGGAGGCCACCTTCTCTGCAACCTGGTTTGGACTGCAAGAGAAGGTGAAAGGAGCTGCATGAGGTGAGCCAGGACAGCTCAGCTGAAACCAGCAGGAAACACACTTAGAGAGGTGTGAAAAGGGGGCTGAGTGCTCACAAACCGGGACAGGACAGTGAGCTGATGTCACAAGTGGCTGGAGCCAGAGGGCCAGGAGAAGCCCAGCCCCTCTCCTCAGCACCCCAGCTGGATCTCAGCTACGTTGTGACAACAGGTTGTTGAAGAGCAAAATGCTGGTTGCAAAATATTTGTGGAATCCACATTTTGTGGCCTCCTTCTCCCACCAAAGGCCATGACCACCTTTGCCTTGGCAGGCTGAAAAAAGGAACAGTTTGCTCCCAGTCTGCATGAGAACCCACCTGCTGCCCAGCTTCTCCACCCAAATCAGAGCATCTGTTAAAGGAAAACCTTGACCCTGTTTCAAAGGTGACAATCCCTGCGTGTTGCCAGTTACCTTCAGAAATGACACTGGAGTTTATAGCAGCCTTCCAGTACCTGAAGGGGCTGGCGAGACCCTGGCCCAGGCTGCCCAGAGAACCTGTGGCTGCCCCATCCCTGGAAATGTTCCACGGCAGGTTGGATGGGGCTTGGAGCAACCTGGGCTGGTGGGAGGTGTCCCTGCCCATGCAGGGAGGTTGGAACTGGGTGATCTTTAAGGTCCCTTCCAAACCAAATCAGTCTGATTCTTTCAAATCATGAACAGAACAGGCAAGCTGACATTTAAAATGTCTCCAGCGGACTTATTTTCCTTGTAAGGAAAGGACAAATAATGCCCTTATCTCTGCCAGAAACCTTAGTTTACTGTTACTTAAAAAACATACTTGAGACTGAAGAATACACTAATAAGCAACCAGGATGGAGCATAATACTTCAAACAAACTGTTCTGATTTATTTGAAATGCAAGGATGATGCTCTCTCCTTAGTCCTGAGGCTGCATTTGTCTGTCAGATACTGGGGAGAATATTGGATACACATACCTAAACTATACTGTGGCTCCACAGGAAGGCCCCTTATTGCTTATTGAGTTAACAGAGAAAAAAAATTACTAATCCTGGGGAAAATAAGTGAGAAGTGATATAATTTTCCATTTCAGGAGTGTCCCTTTATCATGGAAGAAAATGCTTCAGTAAAACTCGGAAACAATTAAGTCATTTAGTAATAATTAGGTCACTTCTGAAAGGTTTTCCACAAGATACTTGGAGTCACTCAAATTGACAAGATATGCACTGCACGAGCCTGCACATTTTTGGCCATTTCCCTGACAATTAAACTGGTTGGCAGTTGTTCAAGGCCTGGCCTTTTATAGCATCCACTCAAGAGGAGGGAATTCTGGAAAACCCAGGATTTCTGCACCTGAACAAAAGGCCACATCCACCAGCACCAGGAAAACAATGAGAAACCAGCTGACTGTTGTCCAAGTGAATCAACTCAGGCTGATTTTTGTTGGCAGAGCACAAAGTCCACCAGAAAAGAGCCAACAGAAGGAAATATTGCCCCAACACACCTGGCATCTTTCACGCGTTCGTTGGCTTGGTAATACCCGGCTATCACGTAGCTGTTCTCCTTGCACCAGGAATCAATCTGAAAAAGGAGTTGGAACAATTAAGCCCAGGGAAAAAAACAAACAACTAAGCAAAACAACAAACCACCACAACAGAAAAAACCCCACAGAACTAAGGACGTTTTATAGCCTGCAAATAAAGTGGTCACTGAAGCGTTACGGTACCGTTGCCAACTGCTTCTTTACGTGTGTATATATTTCTGTAGACAGAGTTTGGGTAGTTTAAGTAGATCAGAGGAACCAAATTGAACACTGAAGCTCTGTCCTTTCCTGGGTATTCCCACTGCCAAGCTTAGGAGGAAATTCTTTGGTGTGAGGGTGGTGAGACCCTGGCCCAGGCTGCCCAGGGAAGCTGTGGCTGCCCCATCCCTGGCAGTGTTGAAGGACAGGTTGGATGGGGCTTGGAGCAGCCTGGGCTGCTGGGAGGTGTCCCTGCCCATGCAGGGGGTGGGAACTGGGTGATCCTTAAAGTCCCTTTCAACCCAAAATATTGTATGATTCTATGATTTGGAGAGTGATGGAAAGCAGGAACCAGCTGCAGGTAGATGGGTGGCTGTGCTGTGCTTTCAAAGACAGCTCATCCATTTGATTTCTCTTGTAACATTTCCAGGGTCAAGTTGAAGCATTTCTTACTTTCATTAGCAAATAAAGGTTGAAGTAAAACGTAAACACAAGGCACAGATTTTGTCCCATTCACCACTTTTTTCAACCCACTCCATAAGAAAGAGACTTTTGCAATGAAATTGGTTAGCTTTGGGAGTTCACCTGCCAGGGTCACCGACCACTGCAGCAACGGATCAACCAGGTGGGTGGATCCTCTGCTCTTTAAAACCTTTCCAGCAAAACTTGCCTAAAAACCCTTCCAGCTCAGCCACCAGACCAGGACTTGAGGAGAGAACTAGTGGCAGAAATTCAGTTGCAGACAAGGGCAGTCCAGGCAGCTCCTCCTTATTTAACATCTGCATGGAAATGAAGAAACATCTGCATTTCTTTGCATATGTTGTACATGAGTCTGGATTTACACCCGTCCTAAAGTTCATATAATTTTGGTATTTGGTTATTTTTAAAATGCAGTTTCAGCCCTGTCATTTTTCCTGCTGGATCTGAATTCCTCCTGCTGAGCCTGGCTGGCTTTGGAAAAATCAAGATATGTGATGTTTCCCCTTATAACTGAGGATACCAAGTCAGCATAATCCAGAGCCCTGAAAGACAGGAGGGGAGAAAGCAGCTCGAATTTTCCTTTGCCGTCCCTAGAGAGCAGGCACCACAAAAAACCTCAACAGCTCTATCAAAATGGGAGTCCAAAAATATACCTGCTGCATCCTGTGAGTCAAATCAATCCCATTTTTAGCAATAATTATAGTGTTGGACTGCTTAAATAAACAAAAAAAAAGCCAGACTAATCCCTCCTCGACAAGGGATGACATAGATTTAGGTGATATGACAAATAAAAAGGGGGCTGTGTAGCCCTGCTTGAGCTGAAGGCCAAATGCTGATCCCATGGGAAACCCATTTGGAGGGCTCAGGATTGGGTTTTAATTGTTAGTGGCTTGAAAGCTTGGCAGTAAATTAATAATATTAATAACAGTAATAATAACAATAACAACAACAACAAGAATAACAACAAAACCAAAACAGCAACAATAAGTTAATCCATTGAAAAATGAAAACCTTAGGGTTTGTGGCACACCCCAAAAAAGGTCTGAAAAGACATAAAGAGGGTATGACTTTTAAGTACTCAGTTCCCAAAGGATAATTAAAAATTACTACCAGAAAAAAATAGAGAAAAAACCCAATCTGTTTGGCATTCAAGTTGTTTCCAAGTCCTCTCTCACTGCAGGACTATCAGCACAGGCACCCTCAGCAGCAACTCACCTGGGATGTTTTTAGCCATGTCCAGCCCTGACAAGGACAATAGGGGACAAACTGTGTCACCCCTGGAAAGCCAAACATGGTCTGAGCACCAGCTTCAAGGAGAGGAGGTGTGGCCACCCAGGGTGGCAGAAGGGCTTGGAGTCAGGGAATCATGGTTTGGGTTGGAAGAGACCTTAAAGATCATCCAGTTCCAACCCCCCTGCATGGGCAGGGACACCTCCCACCAGCCCAGGTTGCTCCAAGCCCCATCCAACCTGCCCTTCAACACTGCCAGGGATGGGGCAGCCACAGGTTCTCTGGGCAACCTGGGCCAGGGTCTCACCACCCTCACAGCAAAGAATTTCCTCCTCATGTCCAACCTAATTCTCCCCTCTTCCAGTTTTAATCCATTCCCCCTTGTCCTCTAACTCCCTGCCCTTGTCCCCAGATTTCCTGGAGCCCCTTCAGGCACTGGAAGGTGCTCTAAGGTCTCCCTGGAGCCTTCTCTTCTCCAGGCTGAACACCCCAACTCTCTCAGCCTGCCTCCAGAGCAGAGCTGCTCCAACCCAAGGATCATCTCCATGGCCTCATCTGGATTCTCTCCAGGAGCTTCATGTTCTTCTTATGTTGGGGGCTCCAAAATTGGACACAGGACCTCAGGTGGGGTCTCAGGAAAAGAGCCCTGGGAGGAGCAGGGCTGCCCTGCTGAGCACTTCCCCCGGAAGGGGAAGGACTGCCTGGCTTGGTTTGTTTTGAGAAGATGTAAAACCACAACAATTAGCTCAAAGGCACCAAAAAGCCCCTTGTGAAACTGAATTCACTTTAAGGACTCCGGTGTTTGAAAGGGTTTTCAAACTGACACTAAAGGCAGGCACTTCTGCTCTCTGCTCCAGAGCCACAAACCTTCCAGTCTGTGCTCCAGCACATCCCATTCATTCCTCATCCCCAGGCTGCTGCTCCAGCACCACTCACAGCTTTTAGAAGTTACCAGGTGAACCAACCTGTTTGAAAATGGACCCTCTAATTTCAGGTTATTCCTCCTGGTAGATGTTCTGGGCTAACTCAAGTCAAAGAGGAGGAGAAGCTCATGGAGCTGGTTCTAAGAAGCCTCGCACGTGTGACCAGGCCACAGCCCTGGCCAAGGAGCAGGAAGAGAAACAGATCCCACCCCAACCTGCCAAAGCTTCAGAATCCTTTGGAAACAGAGAAGCCTGATTTCCAACCACGCTGGTCTCACTGATTATTCACTGACCATGTGTTACCCTGTAGCTCTTTGAAACCTCTCAACAGTCAAACCCAGCTGTCACGGCTGCTGTGCTGCTATTTATTGACACCTCTGCTTTGTTTGAACACAAAATGAGAGCAAAAGGGCCCAGGCTCTTTCCAAACCCTGTTTTGAACCTGCCAAGTATCACTTGAGTCATCAAAGGTGACTGCAAACCACACTGGGTCTTGGCAGCTCCTCATGAAGGTGGGAAATGGTTCTCATCTTCAAGGTGGTTTTGTGAGAACACAAGAGCAAGGAGGTGAGAATTTTGCCAGCTCTTTGGTTCCATCATGATTTGCTTGTTGTAGATCAGAGAGTCATGGGGTAGTTTGAGTCAGAAGGGACCTTGAAGATCTCCTAGTTCTAACCTCCCTGCATGGGAAAGGGCACAGAACCACAGAACAGTCATGGTTGGAAAGGACCTCTGAGATCACTGAGTCCAACCAAAAAAGCCCAACAAAACCAACCAACTCCCCCCAACTCCACAAAACACAACCCAAACCCCCCCTAACACACAACCTACAATCTCAGCCACTAGAGCATCCCCTGAAGTTCCTCATCTACATGTTTCTTGAATACATCCAAGGATGGCAACTCCACCACCTCCCTGGGTAGCCTGTTCCAGTGTCTGACCAGTCTCTTCCAGTAAAGAGACCCTGGCCCAGGTTGCCCAGGGAAGCTGTGGCTGCCCCATCCCTGGCAGTGTTGAAGGGCAGGTTGGATGGGGCTTGGAGCAACCTGGGCTGGTGGGAGGTGTCCCTGCCCATGCAGGGGGGTTGGAACTGGGTCCCTTCCAACCCAAACCATTCCTTGATCCTATGTCTCTGTGCATCTATACCCTTTAACTTGCAGACAATCACACTCTTTACTGCTATGAAAGTGTCTTAAGCTTGGAAAAAAGCTCTTCCTGCCGTAGAACAAGAACATTCCCTCCCGGAGTGACCCGGGGACCGCGACACCAACACAAAGCACCGTTTGTTTGCACCGAAAAAAAAACCCCATCGGACAAAACCACCAGGCTCTGTTGCTTCCTGCTGCTTCCCCAGCAGGAGCTGCAGAGTGTTCTGTCCTGGGGGGG